AAAATTCAAGCGAAAAATTTTGCAGTCCTTTACTGTTAGCTAACATTTAGGTCTGGTTTTAAGTTTGTAGTTGTAAGTTTTAAGAACCATATTTGTTGTCCACATTGCATGATGCCGTGGCAACCCTTAATTAAGACGACACTCAGATATAAACTTTCCTGTTATTTCTAATTGTCCTAAATAAATTAAATATATAAAAATAGTTTTTGTATTACGTATCAGGTTTATGAAATCTATCTGAATGAAATATATCTGATATGTGTATGTATGTATGTCATTATGTATAGGATATACAAATGGGAAAATCGGTTAAAATAAAAATGTAGGAATTATCTTAATGTTTATTTTTAGTGAAATGTGAAAGGTTTGTGTATCCGATTATAGTTTTTACAAGTTTTTATTGCACATTTAACTATTATATTTGTTATTATTATTCTTAGAACACGGGCTCCATATCTAAGAAATGTACGAGTATACTCTAAACTGAATCCAAATATGTAAGTTTACTTTTGGGAGATTTTGATGACAGCTATATTGTCCTCTAGAGCAAATTTCAGTAACAGCGGCCAGTGTCAACGGCGATTAGTCATTTGTGAAGGACAGGATTATAGCGCCCGAATGCCCAAGCACAGGTGCATTATTTCTTCATTCTCAAAGTCCGATGGGACGCTTAACTTAGCTTAACCCAACAGAGATAGTATATAACAATACTATTTTAAAGCGCTAACAGACAAAATTACTTGAGGGTTTTCCACCATAATTTATACGAATTTCAATTATGCGTGTCCACTAATTATGGTTCACATTCTTATCAAAACCCTCTTCAAACCCTTACGTAAACCGTAATAAAAGAAGAAAGAACAGCAATTTGCTTGCGGACAAATTCCCGCCAAAAATACCGAAAAACTCATAGGCGGCGCAAGGCGTGGGCGACGGCCTACGCCCTTTCGGCCCAAAAGGCCTCGCACCCAGAAAGATCAAAGAATTTTCATTGCAGAAAAATATTAAGCTAGAACGGTGAAAATTCAATACATCTATAATATCATACCTCATGTCTGTGTTCTCTGCAACTAAAGTGCATCCAGCGTCCTAAATTTGTAACTTTAAAATTTGCGCCATGTTAGGTCAGTAGCTAAACGCTCGCTGTAAATTTCACAGTACGCTAGGAAACCCTGTTCGATCCCCGCCAGCAGCAAGGAAATTGTTAATTGCAATTTTAAGTACTCATTTTACCACGTGCTCGGCGGTGAAGGAAAATGTCGTGAGGAAAGCTGCATGTCTGCGAAATAAGAGCAAAAAAATATTTCGATGACATGTGAAGTTCACCAACGCGCATTGGATCAGCACGGCGGGGATTTCCATGCCTTCTCAGAAATGAGAGGAGGCCTGTGCCCAGTAGTTGGACGTAACTTTATTGTAATAAATAGCATCAATGAAGTGCTTTCTATCTATCGCGGAATTTCCCATTCCATTTGCTTCACGCTAGGTTCACGAGTCTCACGTCTCAACGATTGCCGAGTCAATTAGATTGTCGCAGGTTACTATGAAGTGGTCACTTTGTTTTGTCTAATTTACAATTTTTCGAAGTGGTTTCTAGTGATATGCTGCAATTCATCAAAAGTGTAGTTGGCGAAGCAGAATAACATGTGAGCTCTGCTTATTTAGAATGATTGCAATCCATTTGTTGCTTAAACACTAAAAATAAATTAGAAGTGGTAGTTGACTAAGTTGAACACCAATAGTGTCAGCGAAATTGCTGGTGACAAGATAGAAATTATACAGATCAAATCCCGGATTTCACATCAATCAGAACGAGATTAGAATAGCTTACCAGCATCCATTAATTACCTGCAAGGTACCTAGTGAAGACAAAATTGCAATAGAAGTTGTGCAAGTGAGTGGATAATCAATGCATATTAATGTCCTTCAGAAGCTATTAAATTTTGTCCTTCCACCTGGCACTAAGTCAAAAGTGTGGAAAAAGAGAAAAATAATTTGTATTTTCAAAAAAAAAAAGATAACGCTCCCATCATCATCATCATTACAGCCCTTCACAAGTCCACTGGTGAAAATAGGCCTCCCTCAAGTAATGCCACAAAGCACGGTCCTGAGCCACCTGCATCCATCGACTTTTAAGGTATACTTCACGAGAAGATGTGTCGTAATTTGTCCAACGAACGTTGCCCCGCCGAGTGAATTTGTCAATTGACTTCTCGGTCGGTGAGTGATGTACTCGCCATTGATGTTAATACCGTATCCTTTCCAGTTCAGTAGCTTGAAAACGTCTTCCAATGCATCGGTGAAGATTTTCGGGGATATAACGTCACCCTGTCTTACACCTCTCTGCAGTTGGATAGGTTTCGTACTCTGGTTCTGTACTCGGATAGCCATTGTAACCCTACTGTATAAACACTTCAGTAGTTCGATATACCGACAGTAAACTTGGCACTGCTGAAGGGACTGTCACTTTCAGGGATTCTCACGGAATACCAGCTTAAAATAACAGCTTAACGCTGCTGTTTCATATGAAGAGTGTAGAGAACTGGAGACCCTTTTTACTAGAAACGGGGCATTAAATCTTAGTTCTCACGGGTGACAACGCATCTGCATTTTGATTCGCAATCGAGGATAGATGTAGATGTCTATGGGCTACAGCAACCACTTACCATCAGGTGACCTGTGTGCTCGTTTGTCACTCTCACACTAAAATAAAAATTTAGGTACCACGAACCATTTTTTTTTCAACTGTCCTATCCTCCTCTCTCTATGATTAATAACCTATCCTTGCCTCAACCTATAGATTTTAATTCTCTTTTAACATACATAAATTGGTGCATATTTTTAGTGATTTTGTTATTACTTAAACCATTAAACTTTAAATCCTTGACACTTAACATACTAATAAGATTCTAAAACCTGTGTTGATCATATGTTTTAAATAATTAAACAGATAGATTTCCCAAAATTATAGAAAAAACAAGTTTACTTTTTTATTATCTTACAGGAGGGATATTGTGGCCACAGACTCTTTAATATTTGGGCATACTCTTAATTTCATCAGTATCCACTATGTTGCTGGCCGTGGTAGCTCAGGTGGTTAGCGATTGCTGTAAATTTCACAGTACATGAGCAACCTGGGTTCGATCTCCTATGGCACCAATGAAATTATTAATTGCAATTTTAATTGCTGATTTACTATGTGTTTGACGGTGAAGGAAAACATGATGAGAAAACCAGCATGGCATCATAGCCCTACTGTACAAACACTTCAGTACTTCGATATACCGACATTCAACTTGGCACCGCTGAAGGAACTGTAGCACCGCCCAAATTTCGACGGAATCAAAGGCTTTTTCTAGTCCACAGAAGCAAGGCAAAGTGGCAGATTGTACTCTTCGGTCTTCTGTACAATCTTCCGTAGGGTACGTATGTGGTCTAGGATACTGAAGCCTTTTCGGTAATCGGCTTGTATGGGTTACTGAAAGTCGTCGAATTTGCGTAATGACTCTGATAAAAACAGCAAGTAGACGCGTCTAACAAGGGAAGTCGGTCTGTAGTTCTTAAAGAGAGCTTTGTCGCCTTTCTTGAAGAACGAGATCACCACACTTCTGCTCTGGAGGCGTGCCTCCGGAGCAGTGCCACCATGGAGGACGGAAAATCGAAGGGCTTCTGAAAGACTAAGTACCGATATTCCACCCGCTTTCAGAATCTCCGCTGTAATTCCATTATCGTCTAGGGCCTTGCCTTTTTTAAGGTGCTGGAGAGTCATTCTATTCTCGCTCATACTGAAGTCCGGGATATCATCGGATTACGTCTGCATAAATAACTAAAGCTGATTTCTCTTCTAAACTGATTCATCAGTCATAAAGAAATGATTTTCATGCAGACTTAATGACGTCTAGTCTCTAAAATGCGCTGTTTAAAACCTAGCACTATGCTCAGTTTAACCTACATAGTGTCTATCAACGGTTAGGATAGGTTCAAGGTATCAGTAAAGAATGAACACAGGGCCGGTTGTAGTTTGAAGAATTGACAATCGCGAGCGAGGTCACCCCCCACTAAATTGAGGTTGAACAGTTAGGCAAATCATGTCTCAAGACCGTGTGAGTAGCTATGGGAGGTCTATGTTCAGCTTTTGACTTTTGACGGGTTATAATTGAGGACCAAATACAATTATGGGAAAAAAAATTATTTGTCGTCTTGCGAAATTGATCTTGCCAAATTTAGGTCTTGCTCCGCCCCTGAAAAAACTAGTCTTTATTTATTTTTGATGGTAATTCTATTTTATAAACAGCTTTTTTATAATTTCTGCTAGACATAGGTCCTTCTTGTGTGTTTCTAAAAATGTTACCTGACAATGTTCCAAAAAAATCTTGAAACCTTGTTCACTCCCGATGGTAAATACATAGACCGGTATCCTCAACACGCCTGACAAGTGTGACGTTTCTAGCAAATCCTCTACCACGGAAGAGCCCCATGTCCAGTACTTTTAATCCTATTTGTTCGGTTATACGAAACACGACGCTATGACATTATTTCACCTCCTTTAATTGAATAGTATATAGGTCTATGACACCACTAACGAAAGTGGAATTTTGATATAGGTAAATTCATGTCTTTATCTTGAATTTGATTGTTCAAAAACACGATTGTATAATTTTGACTCGATCATAATTATTTGCGAAAACACCTCTAAAAATCACTATAGTTGAAATTACAACGAAATTACTTAATCTATATGCTTGGGAACAAATATATTCATAACATCAATATTCATTACTTGCTCATATTATTACTTAAATCAATAATTTTATAAAAAATATTTTAAGATTCTGACAATTTCTAAGCGGTTTTATTCGTCGCGGGCGCTACGCAATTTTAGACCTTATGACGGCGTATTTTTATAGAAATGATGTATTCACTCTCAGTACGGCGATAGCTTGGAGTCACTTTTTCGATGTGTCGTCTTAATATGTACTCTTTAAATTATTTCTTTTTAGATAAACGATCTGGTTGTGTTTGGGCGGCGGATTACCGCTTCAGAAGCTCAGCAAGGGGGACTGCTGAGCCGCTGCTTGTGGCCTGACCGCGTCCCGGAACAATTGCGAGCCATCGCCAAAAACATCGCCGCGCAACCGCAGCCGGTAATTCATTTTTGTAACTAACAAAAAAGGGACAAACGAGCACAAGTCCACCTAATGTAAGTGCTGGGCCCTAATACATTTATGCTCAATTAGGAATCAAAACGCAGATGCGTTCTCAGCACTGAGAGTATTCTGTTAGAGCGTGGTCCTTCCCCGGTCGAGCCGACCCATTCGTGCTACAACCATAATATAGCTGTAGCGTGGCTTTACCAAAATGGTATGAAAAGTCTTAACACTGCAATATCGTTCTATAAATAAAACAACGTAAACACCAATATAAAAATTATGAACAGTAATATTTATTATTTGAATCTCGTTTGATTTCCAACTTTTTTGTTTCAAAACAATATTATTTTTTGGTAAACTCACTCCACTCCCGGTCAAGCATACGGTCAATATTCATCGTAGCTGTAGTCATTATTCAGTGGCTGACAATAAGCTTTCCATCCCTTGCCGCGGTACAATAGCTCCGATATGTAATGATGTGCGATGCCGCCACTGTGAACGCATATGTGGTTCCTTGGGCATAAGCAAGACTGGTATAAGGCGTTCAAATCATAATTGACGTTGCCACAAAAGTCCCCTGTTTTGCAAAGGGGCAAAGATCCACACTGGTAGGTGTAAGTTGTATCTGTTTGGGTTGTAGAGTTTAAACGCCAATAATATGGGTACCGACATCGGCAGTTTAAGACGATCCTCGGCGGCGTAAGTTGAACGTTTTTGTGATGCAAATCCTCCAGATCATCGGGGTTCATGCGTTCGTAAAGCGTTTCCACAATGAGCGGCGTGTCCGAGAAAGAGCATTCCGGCCAATTAGTGATAGGCGTGCAAAACTGAAAATTATTGGAAAATGTTATTATAAATTTTTTTACGTGGTAGAGCCACGCTGCAGCTGTATTATATTTGTAACACGAACTAATTCGACCGGGACAGGACCACGCTCTCACAGAATACCAGCGTAAAATAGCATCGTAATACTACTATGTGTCGTATGGTGAGTAGAGAATTGGAGACCCTTTTTACTGAAATCGAAGCATTCCATCTTAGTCCTTAAATGTAACAACACATTTGCATTTTGATTCTTAATTGAGAACAAATGTAGATGTCTATGGGCCATAGCATCCACTTACCATCAGGTGGACTGTGTGCTTGTTTGTCACCTTTATTCTATAAACAAAGGTTGATAAATTCACTGTTTGAGAAATGCTATGTAATGAGTTTTAGTTTCCTAATTATCAAAATTTATTTTCAACTATTGGTTTCCCATTTTTTTTATAGAAATATTTGTTTAGTTATTCTAGAATTTTATAATCAATCAATAAATCGAAAATAACGTGAACAGAACTGCAGGCCAATCTTGTTAGTTATTATTTCAATAAAGTGGTATTTTCCCATTAAAAGCTGTTATGGTGATGATTTTGCTTTGTGGTTTAATCTATATAAACTCATCATCATGAGCAGTACGTAAACAGTCAACTGTCAGAAGTGAGCTTCTCTTCTCTATGTATGGAGTCTTTCATAATCTTCTGCTTGGCATAACTGGCATGAGAAGTGGTGGGAGGTGAAAAGTAAATAAGAAGGTAAAGTTAACCTGGAAATAAGCTCGGTTATTGAGCTCCACGAGGCGGTCGGGCGGCGCGCGCGTGTCGCAGCGCTGCCGGCGCGCGCAGCGGCACAGGCGCAGCAGCGCGGGCGCGCGCCAGTAGCGCAGCAGCAGCGCCGAGCACGCCTCCCGCGCGCCGCACGGAGACAGACTGCGCTCGCTTTCCTCCTGCAGAATAAACTTGTTCAAAACGACTATAATTCAATAGCACGCTACAGACTATAAACTATAAATTTCTAGCGCGCTATTAAAGACGCTGTGTTATAGCGCGCTATTTATAAGAAAGCGTGTAGGAGGCCGGCAAACGCGTTAAGTTTTGCAGCACGCTATATCTCGTAGCACGTTACATTACATGTCGTTCATTAGATAGACCGCGTGCTACATAAGAACATTATTTCGTAATAAGTCGCATTTTAGACTAAAATAAAATAAAGCGGTAAAGAAAAACCAATGAATGCTTTTTCATACAATTCAGGCTTACGACTTTCTGTAATCCTAAAAATATTTTTATAGCATTTACTTTTTTAAACGAAATAAAATTAATTATTTTTTATTATAATTAATGTAGGTAAACGTTATTTTAACCTTAATATAAATTATAAATCAAATAAGGGTGTATTTAAAAGTTTATTGATTGTATTTATAAAAATCAACTATTTACATACACTATTATATACACTTTTGTATCTATATTCTATTCACACGTCCTCTCCCAAAAGCGCTGCTGCTAGAACTAGTTGCCGCTAGATATTAATACTTAATAGCGCCAAAGCGCCATAGCGCAATAGCGCCATGGCAACTACTTACATAGCACGCGCTGTGTTATGGAAAGATAGCGCGCTATAATATGGCGCTATGCGCTATATGAACCCGCATTACTGCAGAACATACTTTATATTTACGACATTTGAAAATGCCTAACACCTTTATCGATAACCACTAAATTTACAAAATAATTAGCTTTGGAAGGGATACTATCATCCTGTCTTAAAGAAAAACGCTAGCGACGTAAATACGTCCTTTTTATGACATGATACAGGAAACCTTTTGCTTTAATTAATTTAAATGTGTCACTGTTTTATATTAATGTTTAACTTTCTAGATTTAGTACTTTTTAAACTATCTATTATTGTATACCTTAATTTTTTGGAGAATTATGTATGACAAAACAAGTACATCTTCCACCTGACAGTAAGTGAATGTGTAACCCATAGAAGTCTTACTTTGTAATTCATTAATGATCAAATGCAGATGCATCGTCACCCCTGAGGACTTAGATGACATATCTCGCCGAAGCAGACTATTTCAAAATAACTGAAACAAATGTAGTATAGTTAAAGAAAGCCGTCAGGGGTGAAATCACCTCCGTTGTCATTTGATAATGGTTGGGTGGACTGATAGCCCGTTAGACATTCAAGTACATTCACAGAACATATTATTACAGTGTTGTATATATATATATATATATATATATATATATATATATATATATATATATATATTATAATGCAAATAGTTTTTAATTTTGTATTTAAAATACTAAATGCAAAATACGTATTTACAAAATGCTTTATCAAAATAAAATACTTTTTGATAACTTATTTGATTTGATTACTATCTTTATTTTGTTAAAAAGTTTATTTATTTCAGCCAGCTAACAGGCTGGTAAATTTACTTTGATAACTTACTTAAATTAAATTTACTTAACAGATTTTAATAAAATAATTTGCTCAAATACACTGTCGCTCATCTTTCTCCTGTGTGGTCTCATAATCATGCCACCATAAGAAAAAAGCCTTTCTACCGGCGCAGAGCTAGGCAAGCAGGTATTATATTTCATGAATAACATCTTTACTATAGGGTATTTATTTAATGATTGCAGGCTGACATCATTATCCTTTAAATATTGCAATGATTCTAGATCAATAGTGGTGTTTGCATTTGCACTGTCAATAGCTAGTGAGGAATCCGAATCATAAAACATGTAGTGGCATTCATTTTTTTCTTTCTTGTGTGATAATTGTGGTGTATTATTTACATCTTTATGATTATTTTTAAGTTTTCTCACTTCTAGGAGGAAGTGAGAAAACTTAAAAATGGAATAATTCCTTTATATGTCTATTTCCCTTTGACACCCATTTTAATTTAAAAAAAGGATATGTCACCGATGTCAAAATTGCATCTATAGCTTTAGGATCCTTTAAATCGTGAAATTTTCCGAACCTCTTTTCTAAGCTTTTTTTATTGTCTCTATCAGTACTCCACAGTATATGGGATTGTCCATTTGTAATAAATGCAAGATTTTTTGTATTCTCATTAACACTATTTATTATATTAACTCAGGTAGCAGGCATCCATAAAATGTTTCTTTATCTCCCTATAAGCTTTTGATACCTTCTGCTATGGGTTTTGTACAGTTGGTATATTCAATTAGAAACTGCAATTCAATTTCTTGAAAAACCGACAATCCTAGTTTTTTAAGGTTTTATTTAAAGTTTCCTGAACTTTCCAAAGGTCTATAATACAGTTATAATATGAATTCCATCAGTCATAAATCAAACAAATCTTGTCATATTTGCGACGGTACTTAATAAAGTAAAAAAATAAAGTTTTGTAATTTTTGAGCACCTTCATTATGTGGTCTGACAAGAAAGCAGTTCAATTCGGTGTTGCCTTAGTGAGAAAAGAAGTACCATTTTTAATCACATTAATTATTAAATCTTTGATGTTTACTTAGCAAAAAGTATTTTGCATTTTACAAATACAAAATATGTCCTGAAAGGTATTTCAAATAAAATATAAAATGCTTTTCTAAAAAAAAGTATTTAAATACAAAATGGAAATAGGTATTTTGTATTTTGTATTTCAAATACTGTTATTTTTAAAATGACACATCTCTGAAAGAAACATACATAACCCCAATCCTTATAGTAAATATTGTAAAAATTAAATAAGATATATCGTAACTCTGCGACATTTTGCTGACGAATTGGGTATTGATTACAAAAAATGTGCAGTGTAAAATGAATGGGTGTGATCTTTTATCATGTCAACATCAGAAACAGAAACCTTTTTATTCGATGTAGATTATAAATAATACTTATTGAAAGTCACTTTTTTGTTTAATTACCACTGGTTCGGAAAAATACTCTGTTCTGGGAAGAACCAGCAAGAAACCGAACGAGACTTTTTTTAAATAACAACTTACAATCATGTATGTTACAAAATGAATCAATACGAAACAAATTAGAAATAGCTTGGTAGCGATCACCTCATTCCCAGGAGTTATTATCATCCATTATCAGCATCCATCAGAAACAGAAACTTTTTTATTCAATATAGATTATATAATACTTATTGACCACTGTTTCGGAAAAAAAAACCTCTGTCCTGGGAAGAAACAGCAAGAAACCCAGCGGGACTTTAAAAAAAACTGAACAGTGCAGTTGTGCAGGTCAAATTTTGTATATTTTCTGGGATTTTGTTGTTAAATCGTATAAAATGCCCCAAGAATGAATTACTGACTCGGTGGAGTCGAGTAAGGTACTACTAGCTTATGTCTGTCATCAGACCATTTAATATACTTGCGGGTACTTGGTGTAAAGAATTGTGATATTGCTGCATCTACCGTAGCCCTGTCCTTGCTCCTAGATAAAAATTACCTTTTCAATGTTTCCATTACTTCGCAACTTTTTTCAGTAGGTACTTTTTACAACTTTTTTAATGACGGAAATGGCACTATCAAAATTACTTGTTGCAAATTTTGGCCAGTAAATTTTAATAAAGCAAAATAATATATTTATTCTAATTAAATGTTAAAAATTAGTTAAAATTTTAAATAGAGGACTGAGGAACTTGCTCACTTTTTTAATTAATTCAGACACATTTTTTAATTAATTCAGACACATTTTTTAATTTGTAGAGCCTATTGATCTACAATTTAAATTGTGAGAGCGGTTTTAATGTGGTCCTAATTGAGACTTCCTTACTTCATTTCGTAATTCTGTTAGATCTAAACTGATGCAAAATGGGGTGTTCCCCAGTTTAGCATCAATAACAATCTAGAAAAAATAATTTATGTGCTTCACAAATATTAGGTTTTAGCACGTATTGGAAATTTATATGATACACTGAATATTTCTGAAGTCACTGATGGGTGAAATGAAACCTCATGGTTAAATCGAATTTTAGACGCATAATTTGTTGTAATAAAAAACAATATTTATTTCTCCATCTGTATGGAATAGAAGCTGAAGTCATTATAGAATGAAATATATTGAATATCTAGTATGTTAAAGTTTTAAAACTTACTAAGCCATAATAATATAATACGGGTTCGTCGCTATCACAAGCAATAAAATTATATAGAATTATAACAAGGAATACGCGAAAAGTCCACATGAATAACAAGAGCGTACTGGTTATTATAACTTATAAATGCCAGTTCAAATGGGTCGCGACATAAATCGATAAGATAATACTTACTAAAACACAGTGTCTTAGTTTTGTTTTTGTTTGGATGTATTTTCTACGGTATAACAGAATTAGAATAGTGTCATTTATGTGATCTCATACATAAATAGGTTTAACCAAAAAAGAAATTGGTTAATAATATAATAGAACTAGTGCAAATCCTTACAAGTAAAAATGAGGTTGGCAGCTGCCTGCTGCATGCAAGCATTCTGCTGAATTAGATTTATGTTTTTATTATAACTTAGATAATAACATCTCAATCTTTAATTTCTAGAAAATTATAAAAATGTGATTAAATCAAAGATGATGTTATATGTAGTAAATGTTATTTTCATTTATGTATATAAATTATAAATAAAATTGTAATTTCGAAATAACCGCCTTACCTTGAGCTGAAGTGGCTATTTGCATGCCATTGAGATATGAATGATCATTTTTTTAAATTTTGTTGTTTGCACTTACACATTCATCAATAATAATATAAACCTTAATACAACAGCTTTAGTTTCAAAACATGTCTATTATTACAATACAGTTATAGCAATATCTTCTGCTTATTATACTTGGACTTTTGCTAATAACTATTGTCGTACAAAACAGGAACAGAATCCGTTTGATTATGGCTCATTTAGAGGCCAAAAAACAATATTACTTACATTAAAAATTTCTTACCGCAAACACTTGTAACATAGTGATTTTTTTGAATTATTTACAGAACATTTTGTTGAAGAAGCAGTTGCTGGGTATCAGAAAGAGTGATGAATTCCTGTCGACATTCCTGTCTTGTCTCGAGACTGAGCGAGATTTGTTAGTCGACTATTGGACTTCTGTAGAAGGCCAGGAGTTGCTTCGAGCTGATCAAGACCCCGTATAATACGCCATTCATGCCCGCGTTATTATTGCGAACGTTTTAGCAAATCTAGTTCTATAGAAATCTATATTCTCGATCTTACTTAATTTTAATTTGTGAAGTGTCTATTTTTCAGATCCAATTGTGTTTAACTAGGTTACAAGTTAGATATGCTGTCGATGATATAGTTCGTATTGTGAACCCACATTACACAATGTTTACACATTTCCTCAACTGTTTTATTTCTGTATGTGAAAGCTTTTCCTTTGCACGCTGCACGTTTTATTATTTATTCATATTGACTATGAAGTATCTTTAAGCATTATAATTTCAAACGTTATATACGTGTAACCTTGTTGGAGCATTAACTTTAAAGAATTCATTCACATTCAAGCGCTTTGATTTAAGCTTAATATGCACTGCATATCTTTCTTTTATTCATTTAACCTCTATCAAAAGAATGTACTGCCATTATTTATCACTTCTGGCTACATTAAAAAGGGTAATAGACCGATTGATCACTTATATCACAATGACTTCACGTTTTCACAAATTTCAACAATACGTTAACCAATATTTGAGTAAATTTTAAATAACTGTTAATTAGAATAAAATTAAGAGCTAAGAGAATAGTTTAAAGAGAACTTGAAGTGATTATGAATGTGTCCTGTGTTATTGGAATTGAATTAGTATTGTATAAAGTAAACTATTTCTTTAGATAATGTACTGATTGGTTAACAATTTTATTCGAAATAAATTTATAGTTTTAAGAAGGAATACACTAGGGGAAGGTTTCATATGTGAGCATAAAATGTACGTTATTTTATATTAACATTTTTGCGTTTCTTGATTGTAGCTGCTTTCAACTTGCGTGTTTTATTGTACTTTCTTAATTTCTATTAACTTTGAAAAATTATTAAGTTGACTTACTGTGGTAAATCTGCTTGATTTACCCGAGTGACAAATCCAACATGGTGATTTTCCCTTTAAATATTATGGTGTGGAATCGAACATTAGAAGATTTATTTGAAAATAAATAAAGTATTTTGTGAGACCGTATTTTATAACCGTTATGATAAATATATTCAGATATGTTATGACTATAAATTTAAAAAATATAATCATACTTATTTCCTCTTCTTATTAAATTTAAATTGTAATGTGTTAACGTAGTATTGTGTTTGATAAATCCACACTGCTAACTCGCATACTATGTTCGAAGGTTCGCTTTATAATATACGGACTAATTGGACAATTTTACTAAAAAAGAAATTGAGAGTATTTCAAAATAAAATAGATGAATTATTTTATTTTTTTAAGCGTAGACCTATTCATTGTTATTACAGGTTATAATCAGTAATTTAAAAAAATCTAAATTAAGTACCCTAGTTCTTGAGATGCAAAAGTTCAACACTTTTTTTGTTCATCTGTCAATTGTCTAATGATCGGCCCTTTTTGCAAAATAATACTTAATTTCTTGATTTGTTGAAATGCAAAGTCAAGAGCTAAGTAATATTGATGAATATGTTGGAAGCAGTGTGTAGTCAAAGGTAGGATTTGTTAGAATTAAGGCTTAGATTATCATGTTATGTTGTAGATGAAATTCTTTATGTGTTTGTTTTAGATGTTTATGTTTACGAGTTTATATTATAATTTAGAGAAATTAGTGTATATTTTCAGCCAAAGTTCTACATTGAAAGTTAACGACACTGATTAAAAAACGTGCATGGTGATTCTAGTTGATGCAATAATCATTGTAGGTGTGTGTAGGTGCAATTCATTCCCTTCGTGTACAAAATTGTCGCCGTCTCTTTATTTAACATTATTAAGAACTTTCTTTATAAACAGATAACATTTTATTTAGTTACGCAATTAGTTATTATACATATAAGTATAGCAGTAATTTATTTTTTCTTTTTCTTGAAAAATAAAGTGCCTTTCGTAATAATTACATAATTTCAGTTATTTTCATTTCCGAATAACTAATAACATTTTTTTATTTTGATAATTGTACAGAAAGGAACCAACGTAGAATAGAGGTAAATATTATTAGCGTTTTAAGGTACATCCGATACGTGATCTGATAACAAAAATAGACTGAGCGCTGCGTACATTTCAAGTGATGGCTAAATCATGTTCAACTTCTTGATACGCATCAGGCACACATCAGTGCGCGCGCGCGTGCGTGCGTCTCTCTCTCTCTCTCTCTCTCTCTCTCTCTCCACTCTGTGTGTGTGTGTGTGTGTGTGTGTGTGTGTGTGTGTGTGTGTGTGCGTGCGCGAGCGTGCGTGCGTGCGTGCGTGTATGCGTGCGTGCGTGCGTGCGTGCGTGCGTGCGTGCGTACGTGCGTGCGTGCGTCTCTCTCTCTGTGTGTGTGTGTGTGTGTGTGTGTGTGTATGTGCGTGCGTGTGCGCGTGTGTGTGTGTGTGTGTGTGTGTGTGTAGATTGCAAAATCCGGATTTTTTGAAATCCGAATTTCTAAATTATGCGTGCGTGCGTGCGTGCGTGCGCGCGTGTGTGTGTGTGTGTAGATTGCAAAATCCGGATTTTTTTGAAATCCGAATTTCTAAATTATACTATGATTAAAATCCGGATAATCCCGATTTTTCGAAGTTTTAAGGTGATTTAATAAAACTGAAACAAAACAGCATAAATCATTTAAAATCTGAATTTGTTCAGACACGAAGGAATAAATTCATCTAAAATAAACAACAAAACAGTAATAAACTGAACATAACAAAAAATCAAAGGAAAAAAACTAATGTTTCAGGTGATTACAAATAAGGGAAGAAATAATTAATAAATTCTATTTTTATGACATTAATTTAGTACACTTATATTAATCAGTCTTTTTTAGAAAACGAGATCTTGAAAACGTGAAAGCGTCAAGTGTCTTATCGTTTAGACGTGATCTTTATAGAAAAGAGGGCAAACGAGCATACGGTTCACCTGATGTTAAGTGACTACCGCAGCCCATGAATAACCGCAACACCAGGGGCATTGCAGGTGCGTTACCGACCCTTTAGAAAGGAGTTAGCTCTTTTCATGAAGGTCGCCAGGTCGTATCGGTCCGGAAAAATCGCCGGTGGTAAATAATTCCACAGAGAAGTCGTACGCGGAAGCAAACTCCTAGTGAAACGTACAGTGGTGGACCGCCAAGCATCCAGATGGTGTGGACGGTATCGGGAGGTTTGCCTCGTAGTGTGTTCAAGAAATTTGGCGGTTGGGATTAATTCGAACAACTCAGAGCACTCCCCGTGATAGACGCGATAAAATATGCAGAGATGCAACATCTCTTCGCAGCGCCAGTGAATCAAGCCGATCGGAAAGCACTCAGTCGTCGACGATTCGAGCCGCTCTGCGCTGGATGCGGTCAAGTGGAAGGAGCTGGTACTGGGGAGCCCCAGCCCAGAGATGGGAACAGTATTCCATGTGCGGCCGAACCTGCGCCTTGTAAAGTTGCAGGCGGTGTGCCGGCATGAAATACCATCCCTCTCCGCTGAGCACGCCAATCTTTTTAGAGGCCAATTGGGCCTTCTGTGTTCAAGTGACCATGACAATGCACGTCTCTTGATATGTCGAAGCCGAGGATTCCGATACTGGCTGACGCAACGAGGTGAGTGCCTTGAAACTGAGGAGACACGACAAAGGGGTTCTTTTTAGCGGTTAACGTCCAAACTTGTGTCTTCTGAGAGTTAAACTGGAATAGATTTATTCGCCCTCAATCCGAGACTTTGTTCAGCAAAAACTAGACTTCAGACACAAGTTTGTCCCGATACTCGGAGACGTTTTCCCGAGAAATATTGGCACGGCTGGTGTACAGAGCACCACCAGTGCTGTCATCTGCATAGTAATGAATGTTACAGGTTTGCAACAAATCATTGATATGCAGAAGAAACAACGTTGGTGATAGCACGCAGCCTTGTGGAACACCAGCATTAATAGGCTTGTAATCGAAGCTTGCACCGTCTACAACGACCTTGATGCTCCGATCTGCAAGAAAGCTGGTGATCCAATTGCACAATTTCTCGGGAAGCCCATAGGAAGGGAGCTTCGAAAAAAGCGCATTGAGCCAAACCCGATCGGAGGCCTTCGCAATGTCCAAACTAACGGCCAATGCTTCCCCCTTGGACTCTACTGCCGCCGCCCATCTATGAGTCAAGTAGACCAGAAGATCACCAGCTGATCGACCACGACGGAAACCGTATTGGCGATCACTAATCAGCTGGTGATTCTCAAGGTACCTCATGAAATGGATTCCATTGTTTTGGAGAACAAGGAGGTGATGGCGATGGTCCTGTAGCTGTACGGGCCTGAGCGGTCGCCTTTTTTAGGGATCGGGTGGACGAAAGCCGTCTTCTACGATTTTAGGACTACGCCTAGAGAGTAGGAGTACCGGAAAAGACTAGTTAGGACCGGTGCCAACTCTGGAGCATACGTCTTCAGCACAATTGGGGGGGATACCGTCAGGCCCACTCGACTTGTGGATGTCCAGGGAGAGGAGTGCTTTACGAACCGAACGATGTGTAAACCACACCTCCAGCATGGAGCACTCACTCCGCGGGATGGTCGGCGGCGTACTCCCCCTGTCATCGAGAGTCGAGTTGGACGCAAAAAAAGAGTCGAGCAGATCGGCTTTCTCCTTTGCGGCATGGGCCAGTGAGTCGTCCTCCCTGTGCAGAGATGGAAGAGATGGCTGACAGAAATTCCCCTGTTCACCCTAGGCGAGAGGCAAGAATGCACGGGTTCCAGAAGGAAGGTGAACTAGTTTCTCGCCAATTCTGCCTATGTGCTCTGACTTTGCCTTGGCAATGACTCTTTTGAAGAACTTGAAGGCGGAATTGTACTTCTTTTTAGAGCGCTGGTGTTTACATCCCGGGACGTTGATTCGCCAGCCCAGGCTTGGTAGCACTCCTGCTTATAGCATGATGATATTTTACGGGAGCGACTAAACCATAGCTGAGATTTGCCTCCGATGGGCACCACAGAAGAAGTAATGAAAGTTCCATACCCTGAAGTACCATATCAGCGACAGAATCAGCAACAACGTTGGGATCGTTCGGCGAGAAGCAAACCCAAGGGTAGGATGCAAAGAAAGACCGCATCCTATCCCAATCGGCCGACCTATAGTGCCAAACACGGCGGCAGCCTGCAGAATGCAACCGCGCTTTCAGCGTGAGTTCAGGTCCGAGGAGCTTAAAGGGGCGTCGACGGGAATCTGATATCTGTCCGGATGAGAGGTCAGCAGAAGGTCCAACAGAGAAGGTGTATGGTCCTCCACATCTGGAATCCGCGTAGGCAAAGTAACCAGTTGTGTCAGACCATATGCCAAGGCAAAATCATGAACAGATCTCTCCGCATGATCGGTTAAACGTGAACCACCCCACTCGGCGTGGTGGGCGTTGAAATCGCCGAGGATCACGATCTCTGCGGAGGGGATCTGCTGTAGCAAAGAATCTGTAGCCATTTGGACGTGGTCAAAGAGTCGGTCTGTTCCGCCATTACCGCTACGGGACCTTATAGGGCACCCGTAGACGCGCGGATGGTCGTCGCTGTCAACGCGTAGCCAAAGGATGGACAGGTCCGAACCATCAAGACTGTCGAGGCGTCGAGAACAGATGTCCTCTCTGAAGTATACGCAAACTTCAGCCCGAGGCACAAAGGAGTGTTCTAATTTGTACCCCGGCTAGGAGAGATACGAAGCATCGGAGAGGACACCTGCGTCTCGGTCAGAAAGAGCAGAGCCGGCCTCGCCATCTCGAGATGGTAGTGGACGGCGTTTAGGTTAGAAAGAAGTCGCCTGGTATTAGAAATTCACGGATAGCGTGGCAGGGGTCGCCTTGGCCTTGTTGCTCAGTTTGCCCCGAGAAGTTGTTGTCTTGAGCAGAATAAATTGAGTGAATAAATGTAAAATATTGTCCATTGAACATAATTTTGAAAAAACCGGATTTATAAAACTATAAAATCCGGATTTTTCAGTTATTTTCGAATTTCGAAGAATCCGGATTGCAATCCCTGTGTGTGTGTGTGTGTGTGTGTGTGTGTGTGTGTGTGTGTGTGTGTGTGCGTGTGCGTGTGCGTGTGCGTGCGCGTGTGCGCTTGTGCGCGTGCGCACGATCGTGTGTGTGTGCGTGCGTGCGTGTGTGCGCGCGCGTGCGTACGTGCGTGCGTGCGTGCGTGTGTGTAAACCTCTCATAACTTTTGAACGGCTTGACCAATTTGAACGAACTCGGTGGCGTTCGAAAAAGTTTCACTAAACTTAGATTTTCAATACTGACTGACGTTTCAACCGATTTGGTCCGGTTGATTTTGAGAAATCGCAGAAATAATTTCAAATAAAATAATTTTTTAAATTCTTTATTAAACTTGTAAACAGATACAACGATCAATTCCAAACATCTCTTAGGCTGCCTGTCCACCGGAGCGGAGCGAGGCTGCGGAGCGGACGACGGAGTAATGCGGAGCGTAGTTGCGTACTGTGTCTGTCCACCGGAGCGGAGCGAGGGTAATGCGGAGCGGAGCGAGAAAGTAATGCGGAGCGGAGTTGCAGACTCTGTTTTTCAATATGCTGAGCTAGGCCGCGAGTACGCGACGAGTCATTTCGAGCTTCCGGCGGCGGGCTATTGGTTTAGTTGTACGCGAAATATCAGTGACAGTAGACATGTTATCGAAAAAGTTAATATATTATTACCTTACATTGCTTGAGGAAGAGTTGGAGTCAGAAGAAACCGAATTACTTACCATATACCATTTGAACAATTCTATGAGGAAACATAGATTTTGGATAAAAAACCATATCAAACATCGTTCAGAACACAGTGAATTTTTTACTTTTTTCCAAACTGCTGATGAAGAAATTTTCGAAAATTCTTATAGAGTATCAAGATCTACTTTTCATGAACTTCACTCCCTGATTGAACCATATATTCGGAAACAAGACACAAATTACAGAATATCAATTAGTATCCGTGAAAGATTAGCAGTGTGTTTAAAGTAAGTACATTTTGAAATTAAAGTAACTTTTCACTATTTATAACTTGTCCGCATTTTCATTGGGTCCTGTTGGCTCTGCTGCAGATGTTTCAATATCCTGGGTTGTTTGAATTTGTAAAGCGCTAGGATTATTTATACTAGTGTTGATAATATCTAGAGCACTACGAATATTAAAAATACTAGTGTTGATATCATTTGGAGCACTAGGAGTATCGATACTAGTATTGATATTATCTGGTGTAGGTGTTGAGCCTGTAGAATAACCATAATTATTCGGAGAATACCAACTATGCTGAAGATTACTTTCTTCAGCTGACATTACCGCATTAAAGCAGGTTTTTTTAATTTGAAGTTGTAAGTAATACGGTAGTTTTTTTGTCGATGCAGCCAAATTTAAAAAAAATAAGTCTATATCATCGTACTTATCACTAGCTAACATCATGTTTTTAACTTCTATCCGTTCTCGTGCCAACAGTTCGCGGCGTTCCTGATTTTTTTTTAAAAGATCCAGAATTTCATCGTTTTTTCTTTTTTTGGATGTGGATGGGTGAGGCCCAGAAGCTGTTGAATCATTAGGATCATCGATAGAAGGAAGATTATTTGAATTTGATGGTAAAAGACTGCATAATTCCCTTGAACTCTCTTCAATGGTATTTGGCGAATTTGAAGTTTCCATTACTGAGTCGTTCAGTGGCGCAAAATTTGTTGGCCGTTCTCTATTACTCATGTAAGGCAATAAAAATGACATTGCTTTCTGATATTTCCATTCCTTTCGTTGTTTTCTAGCCTGTCCACTCCTTGTTGCATTTTGTCTTTTTAAGGCATCCCGATGGTTATCTCTTAGTTGTTTCCATCGCGACTTGGCAGTTTTAACTGAAACAATCAACAAAATCAAAAATATATGACATGGTCTATTTATAAAAAAAAATTGTTTTATGAACTAAACAGATTTTTTTAGGTATTTAGCAACCGGCCAGTCATTTACAACGTTGGGAGAGAATTTTAGAATTGGATTGAAAAGTGTATCAAGAATTGTTGACGAGGTTTGTGATGCTTTATGGAATGTATTGCAACCTACTGTCATGTCGCAACCAACAGAAAACGACTGGAAAGAAATCACAAAAGATTTTGATGAGCTATGGCAATTTAAAAATTGTACAGGTGCTCTTGATGGCGAGCACGTATATATCAGGGCTCCCTCGAAAACCGGGTCCTCGTTTTTCAACTACAAAAAGAGATTTTCTGTAGTATTGATGTGTTTAGCTGATGCCAGAAGGAAAATCATAATGGTTGACGTGGGATCTATGGGAAGATTTTCTGATGCAGGAATTTTTGCTGACAGCATTTTTGGAAAGAGATTAAAAGAAAAGAGATTGAATTTACCTGAACCGGTACCATTGTTTCAAGGTGGAGCAAAAATGCCGTTCGTATTTATAGGAGACGAAGCTTTTCCATTAATGGAAAATTTTATGAGGCCATACTCACGTGATAGACTAAAGGCAGAAAGAAAAAAAACAATATTTATTATATTACAAAAAAAAGAACTAACTAAAATTAAAAATCAAAATATGGGAGCCCCCAATTTTTTTTTAATTTTTTTTATTTTCAGTATTTGTTGTTAAACTGGCGACAGAAATAAATCATCTGTTAAAATTTCAACTATCTAACTATCACGGTTCATGAGATACATACAATCTGGTGACTGACAGACGAACGGACGGACGGACGGATAGACAGACAGACAGACAGCGAAGTCTTAGTAATAAGGTCCCGTTTTTTACCCTTTGGGTACGTAACTCTAAAAAGGTATCAATATGTAGGTACCTACTAGAGTGTAGAGATACATAATATTATTTACCATCTGATATGTTTGTTTCGACGATTATTTGGTCCCACGCAGCGTCTTTTGTTTCATTGCATTTGTAAAAATCTGAAGATGTGTTCCAAATGCACGGAAACTTTTTTAACACTTTCAATAAGTTTTTCATCCATATCTTCACTGCACCGGTCACATACACTCTGCTCGGAATACGGCGGCACACTGCGGACGCACCACGCTTCCCCGCTCTGTTTCCCCGCTCCGCTACCCCGCTCAGCTTCCCCGCTCCGCTTACCGGTTTTGTATGAATTTTTAAACTAGTTCGCAACTCCCTGTCCACTGAAGAGGAGCGGAGATTTTGTGCAATCCTATTGGTTAAAATTTCTCCGTTTCTCCGCTCCGCGGCCTCGCACCGCACCGGTGGACCGCTTCAAAATCGGTTAAAGCGTTAAAGACAAATCAACAACAATTTTTTTTATTGTTCTTAAAATACCTTGTCGATTGCCACCAATGAAGAAGTTTCCACTTTTTTATGGATAAATTATAAAAAATTGAGTAAAATAAAACAAACACGTGAACAATAAAATAACTCTAGAAATGAATATGTTTGGCACTTTGAATTTGAAGTTGTGCTTGCAAGAATAACTTTGTTAAACGTGGCGTTCTACCGTTTGACGTCATATGACCTAGACGACGCAGTACGTATTCGTCGAGTACGTACATTGTTGTGTAGTCGCTTGTGCTGATCGATATTTTGTTTATTGCCCGATGGCAGAAGTTAAAAAAACCTACAAATATTGTATTGTTCCTATGTGTCAAAGCACAACAGTAAAAATTCCAAAAAAAGTTTTTTTTTCGTGTACCAAATAATAAATAATAATGTCCTCCAGACCAAATTTCGGCCACGGCGGCCTGCCTAAACGGAGGCTAGCCATCGGCGCAGGTCAGGATTATAGTGCCCGAGTGTATGCGCAAGCACAAGTGCACTCTCTATTCCCTCACTCTCATAATCCGATGGGACGGTAAACCGACACGATCGGAGAGATCAGGCGCAGGACCAACGGCTTTACGTGCTTTCCAAGACGCGGAGGTGAGACACTGCCGACTTCCTGACTCCGGGCAGCTACTGAGAATTTCTGGACAGAAAAACTCAATAATTGATTTTTTGGCCCGACTCCGGATTCGAACCCAGGACTTCATGATCAACAGTCGCACTACTACAACCACTAGACCAACGAGGCAGTAATATAACAAGGAAAAGTGGTGCAAACTAATGAAACGTGATTATTCTATATTAGTATTAAATAATTTTTTTTTTCAATATATTCTCTCTGGTTCCCCTGTATTTGATCCAATTTTTCCCTACATATAATCCAAAATATTTTACAACTTTATTTTATGTTGTATTAAATCTTGAGCAGTATCAATTAACTTATATTTTTTGTCTCCAGTATGCGATCACTAAAGTTACACCTCCTAACTAACCGAATACCTACAACACTATTGTATTATATATGGAAATGTCATTAGAAACAAAGAATTATTCTTATTCATAATAATAAAATAAATAAATAAATTCATCAATTTTAAATCAGTTAAAAAATTTAACTTTTTTTGCTTTCTGTAAAATTCTAACTTCAGCAGTTAGAAGTTATTGGCACTTCACCGTCGATATATGTATATTACCCATATAATATTTGGTAAATTATAATGGTAAAACGTCGTTCCTACTATAATTGTTGCGTGGATGGATGCTTAACTGAGCAAACAAAAGGATTCAGATACCTATATCATTTTTAAGTTACCTACCGAAGGATAATGAAAGGCGAATTTATTTCATTTTTTTTTTTGATAGATGGTGATAGTTAAAGTAACGCGAAAAATGAATAAGTAAGTAATAATTTAACCACAGAAGTAATACCTAAGTATTTTATTACACTTAGTTACTTCACTGTTCAAGTATCTACTTACATACCCATACTTGTCTTTTGTAATTAAAATAGTTATAATAACACAAAATACTTTTTTTTGCGCCCGAAGCAAATATGGGCAACCCTCCGGAAAGCGGGGGAGGGAGGTTGGGAATGCTCATAGCATACCACGCAGCCGGCTGCGTGGTTATGTGGTGACTTTTACCCACTAAACACAACCTTTTAGGAACTGGCTTAACGATCTAACTAGAGATCTCTAAGCCGTATACGAACGCGACTCTCCTTGGCAGAAAGGAGGGCGCAAACAAAATATTGAAGTTAAAACTTTCTTAACAAGATTTTTAACAAAGTAGAATATGGTCACATTCCATTTAGGAATCGTATTTCGGGTTTATTTGTTGTTTTCGCTACCTACCAATTTCTTCCGAGCTAAGCAACACGATTCGCAACTAATGGCCTTGCAAGTTGCATACATTGGGCATCACAGAACTATTTTTTTTTAGAATTAGAAAGAACAGAATTATTTTACTCTTTATGGACAGCCTAGTAACCACGGAAAGTGCGCCTTGACGTAGGAAGGGGAAAAGATGCAAAGTAATACGGACACTCGCGCGCAGCGATAAAAAAATAATTTGAGTGCGCTATTAATCCAATTAATTATAATTATGTAGGCTATTAAAAGTCGGCAAGCATTCAACATCAAAGGAGTGCAACTTCTGTTCGTAGTACTGTTATTTATTATATGCTGAATGTTAATACAGGTGTCTCCAGTAAACTTAACTAATTATAGTTCATAAAAGATAGCTTGATCTCTGCGACAGCTGTCAGTAAAAATCACGCCTATGAAGTCCTGAATTTCTTAGTATTACAGACACACTGACCTCTGTATATACAAGTACGCTGGACTGGCTATACACCGCGACATGCTAAAGCGATTTGATTTCCGCCATTTTGACGCTGACAGCAGAAGTGCACGTCCACGGAACTAATAATAGGGATAAGACAGTGTACCAAATTATAACGATAAAAATTCTATCCCCACCTATACCTAAATAAATAGAATAGACTCTATGGATAGATGGACTCTACCCGTAACGTCCATTCTATTTATGTATCATATTAATATAATGCCATTATCATTAATTATCATTAAAACCCTTCATAACTCCACTGCTGAACATAGGCCGCCCCCAAGGAATGCCACAAAGCACGGTCCTGAGCTACCTGCATCCATCAACTTCTTGCATGTCTTACGAGTTTTTGACTCCATCTAGTGGGGGAACGTCCTACACTTCACCTGCCGGTACGAGGCTGCCACTCTTAAACCTATTTCCCCATCGGTATTCGGTTCTTCGAGCTATATGGCCGGTCAATTGCCACTTCAGCTTACTAATCCATTGGGCGATGTCGGTCACTCCGGTTCTGCGGCAGATATCCTCTTTCCTAAGTTTGAACCATGAGCATAGCCCCCTTCATAGCTCGCTGAGCGACTTCGAGCTTCCTCATACAGCTAGCAGTGAAAGACCTCGTCTCAGATCCATAGGTCATCACTGGCAACACGCACTGGTTGTACAATCTAGTTTTGAGGTATTCCTGACGAGAAGATGTGTTGTAATCTCCCGAACGCTGCCCAGCCGAGTTGAATCCGTCGATTGACCTGTCGGTCGAAGTTAAACTTACCTAGTCGGACTATTTGTCCCAAGTAAAAATACTCGTCAACAACTTCAGCTAAGTGCTCCCAAAAACCACCGGCATAGGTGTGACATGGACATTACACATGACTTTTGTTTTGTCCATGTTCATCATAAGACCTATCTCTTGTGTATTCGTATGTAGGTCATCCATCGATTCTGCCTTAAGGACTATATTGTCGGCAAATCTAAGGTGAGTGACGTACATGCCATTGACGTTAATACCGTATCATTTCCAGTCCAGTAGCTTGAAAACGTCTTCCAATGCATCGGTAAATTATTTCGGGGATATTACCACATCTCTGCATTTGATTTTGTACTCTGGTTCTGTACTCGGATAGTCATCATCGTAGCCCTTAGACCATTCAACTAAAAATTGTTAAGATTAAACTAATTACACAAAATAAAAATAAAGACATAGTTTCTAAAATAATTTATTGTCAACCGTTCATTTAGTTCTGGTATTATAAGAAACAAATCAGCTGCTATAATAACGACTATTCTAATCCACTACAGGTCTGTCTTTAGACAGTAAAATGTTTTCTACTATATAAAAATTTACGTTTGTTCGTAATTTCTACGATGCCATACCGTTCATCAGATTGCGGTCAGACTTAGTCAACTTATTGGTTGCACTTGTGCGAAGGTTACACGCATGGTACAATTAACTGACACTAGGTGGCGTGCGTACCGACTATTTGAAAGTTGTAAAAAGTTATATATCTTTCTAATTCAATGATTGTATTATCATTCATAATTATACAATATAACTGTTCCACATTTTTAACAATATTTCCACAATTATTTCTTTTGCGGCAGCAATGCGCCGGATACGAGCTAGTAAGATAATATAAAAAATATAAACTTTGAATTACATAGTTATCAGTAATTTACAACGTCATTTTCGAAATTGAAATTAAAATATTAAAAAAAATAACTGAAATTATCATAGAGTCCTACTTTCTGAATCTTCCCAAGAATGCTGGCTACGTGTCTTCACTGAATGGCTATACTTACCCTTCAAGCGAGGAAACAACAAACTATACAACTTCTTATTACCAGCAGCGATAATCAGTCGCAGATACAGTTTTAGAACTACACCGCATGTGCACCCTACGGACCAATAGTCTCTACAGCAAATTGCACAAATATGTACTTATCTTCCAGATACTCTGGACTATTTACTTGGTTCAGTTGCCTCTAATGCCACCCCTACTTTAGACGAGGTACCTCTGAGATGGGATGCTGTCAAAGTGTTCGCAAGTAGTATCCCACACTAAAGCTTTATCTCTCTCTCTCTCTCTCTCAAACAACCAAACCCATACCGTCGGGTCTCCTGTTATCGCCTCTAAATATTCTACATAGATCTTAAACCGAGGAAACATTTATGGAGATACAAGCTGCACTACAGACTCCCCGAGCCCGATATGTGAATGAAGCCAGGGAAAAACGAGCACTTGGAAGTATCAAGTGGTGTAGCCATCGCCATCGCCAATCACCATACCAACACTCCTCTTCCCTTACGACTCCACCTCGACTACAGCGGT